GGTGTTGTATCATGTTTCAATTATTTATCGGAGGTTTAAAAAAATTCGAAACTTTTTGCACTCAACGCCAAGTTAATCGCAAAGTAGTTACATTTGATAACTTTCGATTGCTTCAAAACGAAATTAATCGGTTCTCCAAATGGTCTGAGCTCTGGCGATTAAAATTTAATGTTGAGAAATCTAACATTATCCACTTTGGAAAAAACAATTGCTATATTTATAAACTAGGTGACAAAATAATAACAGCCTCTGACACCAAAAATAATCATGGAATTAGAAAATTCATCAAATCTCAAATGGAAAAATCACATAAAATATTGTATTTCGAAAGCTTAATGATTCCTTGGGATGTTGAAAGAAACATTTCTATGCGTTAACAAAATAATTTTCAAGATATTTTATGTAACATTTATAAGACCTCGTCTTCAACCGTACAAACATGGCGCCTATACCTTAAGAACAATATTAATGCACTTGATAAAGTTCAACGTTATGCCACTATACCTTAAGAATAATATTGATGCACTTGATAAAGTTTAACGTTATGCCACTAAAAGGGTAACGTTATGCCACTAAAAGGGTAAATTTGAAAGCAAACACAAGAACAAGAATTAAAATACTTGGATTAAGCACAACGAGAAAAAAAGACGTGAAGGAGGTGACTTAGACACAAAATGTACAAAATATCAACAAACAAAAAAATAAAAACAAAATAAATAAAATTTTTACCCCATACCAACCATAATTTCAAAATCAGAAGAGAAATTTTAAAAAACTGCACTCTTTGTCATCACCTCTTTACAAGCAGAGTTGCACCAATGTGGAATAAACTACCTGGTTTCATCAACTTCATCAAGTAAACTACCTGATTTCATCAACTTCATCAAGTGAACATAAAAAGCGTGAACATAAAGCTTGCATTGATAAATATTTTAAGTTATATCAGTTGAAATTTGTATAACATTTAATTAACCTAGTCTTTACAATATAAATGCTGTCAAAGTGAAATTTATTATCATTAATTCTACTCGTAGTTTTCGAACTGTTGTAGCTTTATAGGCTACAGCATTTTAAGTATATTAATATAATAGAAATAAAAAAAAGTCTTTTTTCATATGCAAATAAAAAATAAGTTATTTAATATTTGGAGACAGCTTGTTTAATTTAAAACCATTTGAAACTTTGAGCAACTTAAAGCTTATGTTATGTCGTTGCCAGTTAGTAATAAATGAAGTGTATTTCTTATTAACTAGTTAAACAAACTTCTTTAATGAAATCTTTATCAATTTTGAAAAAACTGAAAAAAATGGATATAGGAAGATAGTTACAACATTAGTTGGTTCTTGTTTTTTAAATATCAGTACAACTTGCATTATATTTATTTTTAAAACATCCAAAACGTTTAAAAGAAAACGTCTTTTCTACGTCCTGTGCCCACTGATTGTAAAAGCATTCATAAGCATATTTTTTAAAAAATCAAATGAACTTGTAATAATGTTTCCCCATCAATGTCATTTCTTTATTAATATTATCAGAGAAAAAATTTGAAAATGATCAAATGTCTGATTATTTTTATTAGTGATTTGTTGAAACTGCCGGTGGTTACAACGTTATCAATCAAAAGTTTTGTTGATTTATTAATTTTAGTTGAATTGTTAGTTCGCGTCATTTTCGAATCAATCATTGAAGTCAACAAAGAAAAATATTTGATCATTTGCGAAAACGGATATTAAATTAATTGATTGTACTAAATTGTAAATGTTTGGAAGTAATTGTTGAGCAAATAATTCAAAATGTATGCAAGCTTTTCTGGTTAAAAAGAAATTACAGGGAAAAAAATATATATATAGCTTTTATGCCAATAATTTTATCACAGTAATCGTTTAACTTGTTTATGTATTTTAGCTAGTCATTTTGTTATTATGTTGAAACTAAAACTTGAGATATTAATGATATAATAAAAAATAAGTTTATTCTAATAAAAACTAGAGATTCTAAATCTTTAATTTCTATTGTACAATAACTATTAAAAAATATTTTCTCGAAAGTTGTTTAACCAAAAGTTATTTTAATGGAATTTGTTGTTTGAGTCAAATTTACTTAAGTAATTTATTTAATTAAAGAAATCTTACTTACGACAAACCGATAGTGTGCAATTTTAATAGCATTATTTAATTTGTTAAAATGAATATTCCGGTTTGGTGAATTTTTGACGTGAATTGTGTTACTCGACAAATGAATAAATGTTTGTGTGCGCTTTTGATTGATACTTTTACAAAAGTTTTTAAAGAAGCAAAGCATTTTAAAATACCTAAAAAACCCGTCGATAAAATCAAACCGAATGGCTTTGTCGATAAAATCAAAATAAATGGTATCGTTGATAAAATCAAACCGAATGGTATCTGTAAAGTTTTTCATTAATCTGCTTTTTAAAAATAATTGGTATAACATCTTAAAATATTAAATTATATATCTTAAGATGTTACACCCAAGCTTTCTAAGTTTCTTTTTAGCTAAGACTTTTAAAATTGCTATGGTTCGCCAATACCAAGTTTAATACTTTTTTGCATATGCTATCGTTTTGAAGTGAATTTAAGTTCAAAACGGTAAAAAAGATCATGCAAACAATTAGTTGATCAAAAAAAAAAAAAAATGGAGAAGTAATTTGGGTTTTAAATCAAAATAATAGACAGCCTTTTACGGAAGAAAGGGAGACCGGGGTTGGTTGCCTTGACTTTTTTTATTCTTTGAGCTCTATAACCTGTATGCTATATTTTTTGTAAATAATTAGTTTTATTTACAACTGACCTAATCTTATTCCGGAAAAAACAAAATAAAATTGAACATGTTTAAGTGAACCATGCGAGATTTAAATTAGTTCCAGTTTACTTGATATAAATTACGGTTTACATTTTGCTATTTCTTATAAAAATTGTAAAAATAACGAAGGTGGAATAATTAATTAGAATGGTTCCCTAAAATTGCATTCACTTTTTGGTGTAATGCTTTGAAGTTAAGCGCAATTTAAGAATCCCTGCTGCCAACTAGCCGAGCTCTGCCCTAAAGAAATCTATATTTACTTAAATATTGTAAACAATAAATATTCAAAATCTTTTAGCTAAAGTTAAAAAAAGTTTGAAGAATTTTTCAAAAACTTTTTTTGTCATTGTGAAATTTTTTTCAATTAATCTTATTACATTATTGTCCTGTGTTTTTTTTTTTTTTTTTTTGTCATTGTGGAACATATCTTGTATGTATCTTATTTGTTGAGATATCTATTAGTGACGTATCTGTACTTTTTAACATAAATAAAAAAGCAACTAAAAATAGTTATTTTTAATAAAAATAAAATATTTTATGTAATTTATTCTATTTATCCAAAATAAAAATAGAACTGAAAATTCTAAAATAATGGAGAAAACGATTTAATAAAATTTTTAGTTCATAATTATATGATACAAGACTATTAGTTATAAATAAGGAAAATGGCAAAAACATTTTATATAAATAAAATAGACATTAAATTCCTTTTTAAAAGCAAGGACACTATTTTCAAAGAAAAGCCGTTGGGCGGATTGCATTAACACTTTTATATTTGCATTAGCAATTTTTTATTAAATGTACCTTTAAGGGGAGGGGGGAAAGATAAAGAATGTTTAATATTTTCGACATATCTTATCTACAACAAAACTTAAAGGTTCTTATCGGTTATCAACTTATCGGGTTCCGCGACAAAAAGTTGTTTATATTTAAACGTTCTTTTACATTGTTCAAATGTTTGTAAATAGTCCTAAGAGTTTTAAAAAATTTAAGTCTTTTTAACTCTTTTTAAAAATAAAAAATTTAATCAAATATAAAAAAAAAGACACGCGTAAATTTCGCGACCAGTGAAGCGAGATTAAAAAAAGACACACATGAATTTCGCGACTAGTGAAGTGAGATTAAAATAAGACACGCAGGAATTTCGCGACTAGTTAAGTAACTGCTAAATGAGTAAAGTAAAAAAAGATATTGTTTATATTTATTCTGGCCATTTTATAACCTTATTTTCAATAATTATGGTTTTTTTTAACTTGTCAACCTGGGTCAATAAGAATTCATTTTGGAGTGTCAAAACAGAAAATTTTGTTCATTATCGATAGTAATTGACCGTCAACCACCCCTCACCATCACCCCGTTATTTTCCGCGCTGACTAATAATGTTATCTTTAATTTCTTAAAACTATCAAGGCTGCATCATTTAACTTTTGTAAGTAATATAAAGTAGCTGTTGCTAAGTAACTTTATTTACTCAAAAATAATTTGCCAAGCTGGGCTATTGTTTGCCAAAAAATTAATTGGCAAACAATGTACCTGGCTTAAGCCAGGAGCCAAGGCTCGTTTATTTGGTCTGGTTCGTTTGTAATATTGCGCAAGTAGATTATCAATATCATGTGGTGAAACTAAGATTCTCTTGCAAACTTACGTTTTGTTCCTTATTAACAGTTTATAACGTTTTTAATAATTTAAGGTTTAATGCTGGTTACCGGCCCGTAGCATCCGGGGAGGCAGCAGAGGCATTTTCCCCCTAATAATTTTTCAAATAAATAATTTTAAAAAATTAACTGAAAAAATTATTAAAAAAAAAAAAGTTCCTTAAAACTATTTCGGGGCCCCTTAATCCAAAACTCCCCCTTCCCCCAATATAGTTTTTGTTCCCACGGGCCTGGGTTATAATTATAAATAACAATTTTAGACAGTAAAAAAAAATTAAACAACAAAATATTAGTTTTTGAAAATAAAATAAAACTGTTCATGGTGCTGGATAAAAGTGATATGAAATTTTACAAGTTTTATTTTAATAAGCGTAAACTTGATAAAATGAATGCTTTTAAAAAGTTGTGACGTTTATAATTTAAAAATCATATGGTCTGTAATTTTTATATTCCAGCTGATACCACGGAATGATTGAAATTTAAAAAATGATAACTTGGTCAATTTTACTTACACAAATAAAAATATAAACTTGACAAATAATTTCTTGAGTGTGCGTTAAGAGGTTATATTTGCGTGAATTCAAGTTTGTTAAGATAAGTTTGAATAAAGAACACTTTTAAAAGTATGCTAAAAATTTGACAAAAATCGTGGAAGAAGTTTGAAAACTAATAAAATTGTATTGTAGTCATGAGAGGAGAATCGCCACTAGATGTTTTATCTCGAGCAGCATCTATCGTTCAAAATGAAGAAAAAGCAGGTATCTAAAACCTTAAGCAAGTTTTTTGGTATATACAACTCAACGATATGCTAATATAAAGTGACACATTTAAAATTGATTCCAAAGTAACTTATTTTGTATCAACATAAACCTAAATAAAATCATCTCTAGCAATAAAAAATTTTCTTAAATATATTTAGTTTAGTCGACGAGATATTTCTTATTTAATAAGTTTTTTTCTTTATTAAAGGTAATATGAGAAACCAATTAAAAACAGGGCAGTTATCTAAAGGAATAGTTTTTTCCGATGTTATGGAAGTTCCGACAAAAGAAATATATCGTAAAAGGTACTTCATTCGATTTCAATACTAAATTTAAAAATATCTTATGATTTTAAAGTATCTGTAATGTATTTCTTTTTTGTGAATATAATGTAATATAAAGTTTATGAAAGAAATTATACCAAAGTTCTAATTTCAAAATTATGAATGTGTTTCAATCTATTTAAATGTATTAATCAACATTTTAAGACAATTCACACAGCTAAATTGTTGTTGTTGTTTTTGTTATTGTTGTTATCATCTTTATTATGAATTATTAACATTTAATGTCTCTGCTTTGACTGATTTCTGTTTAAAATGGCATTCTTGTCAATCATTTGCTAATTACAGTTTTTCAATGGTTATCATTTTATTCAAATATTGTAATAAAAATGTGAATGCTAAAGTATTGCGTTATTTTTGTTTTAAATGTTGTTATTATTATTACTTTTAATAATTTTTGTTACATCTTTGATCATACTATTAGCAGTTGTTTTTCTCATTTTATTACTTTTATGTTTGGCATTTAATTTTTGGTAAAATGAGAGGTTTTTCTACTACAACTAACAGTTTGCTATTTCACATGTTCCTAATTTAAAAAGGTTTTAGAGTGTCTAATTTACTCCACTTAATCATTAATTTCTGTTTTATTGGTTTAAAATCTGGATCTGATTCCTGAAAAAGATGTATAGAAACTTTGTTTTTGTAATTAGCTCAGGCTTCAATGATTGTTTTATCAGTATCTGTTTTTTTTTGGATGGGAGTTAAAAGGACTCCATTCAATGTATTTTTTTAGTAGCTTTATCTTTCATTAACTTAGATTTTTGATTAAAAAAAAAACAGATTTTGAAGATCATTGCAAGTTTATTTAAAACAAGCACCATATGTGCATAAACACTCAATATATGTTTCATCAATTTTTTATAACAGTTAATGGTTTTGTTATACCTAAGTTAACCCTAAAAATGCAGCATGCAGTTTTCAGCTACTATGGTTACACCTTCTGACACTTAAAGTTTCTTTTAAATTGATCAGAAGTTGTCTAGTGCTGATGTAACCTTCTATATAAATTTCTGGCCCATTAAGAAATCCAACTTTTTTCTGACTAATAATGTAAAAGCTGAGAACAGCCAAAGCATTTGTATCTGCTAACAAGTTAGTTTAAGACATCTTGCTAATTCAATTCACTACAAGTTGTCTTAAACTACCCTGTCCAGAAAATGTGTTGAAACCAACGTGTTTTGTGATAATGTGTCTTAATGGCAATTAATTTGTGTGCAAATAGGAAACATTTCATGGTAAAGCATATCAAATGTTTACTTTAATTGATTGGTTAATCTTTAATCTACTACATATAAAACCTAACCCAACATATAAATTCTTAACCTTTTACAAATAAAATTTTCTACAACATTTGTATTAGTGCCACCGTATGCCAAGACTTTAATTTTATTAATTTTTTTTTTCTTTAAGAAACTGAATAAAAGCTGTAGAAACGTAAAGGGTGGTTCAACCATAATGCATGATGTTAATTGTAAGTCACACCCTAACATCAAGTTTTTTGCCTAACTTATTTTGACATTTCTTTGTTTCAGTGTTTAGCAAATTCGACCATAGAGAGGTACACAATTGAGCAGTGCATTAAGATTGCTAAAGCCTTTTACAAAAATGAACATTCGAACAAAAATGCTTTTTTTGCATTTTGTGATTTTTTGGTCAGCATAATAGACCAAATGTGTTCACAATCAGGAGAATTGTGCGCAAATTTCAGCAAACTAGGTCTATAGGAAATGTAAAAAAACCTGTGCATGCTCACCCAGTTCGTTCTGCGGAAAACATTGATTTTGTTTGCCATAGTGTGGCAGAAGAGGAGTAAACCTCGAGTTAATGTTATGCCCAACAATTAAACATCTCCAAACATCACTAATGCAAATTTTGAATAAAGACTTGAATTTTAATGCTTACACGGTTCAATTGACTCAAGAGCTAACCATTTCAAGTATCATCAATATGCAGAATGGTTCGTTGAACAGACAGAGGTGAATGGTGACTTTAAGAAGAAAATCTTCATTGACAAGGCACTCTTTCACCTCAGTGGATTCATTAACAACCATACTTGCCGCATTTGTGTAAATAAGAATCAACAAGTGATTGTTGAAAAGCCGATGGGTCCACAAAGAGTGGCTGTTTGCAGTTACCGTTAGTAGTAATTGCTATTGTGAGATAATAACAGTCTTCTTGTGGCCAGAAATTGAGGATATGGACTTGGATGATATGTATTTCCAACATGATGGTGCCACTTGCCACACAGCCAATGAAACAATTGCTCTTTTAAGGAAAAAGTTCAATGGCTGTGTTATCTCCTGTTGTGGCAATGTTAGTTGGCCGCCATGATCATGTGATTTGACATCGTTGAACATCTTTCTTAATTACAATAAACATCATGCGTTTTGGTTTGACCACCAAAAAAAGTTTTAACTTTTTTAGTGGTTGATGATACATAATCAACATACAATCAGGAAGGGAAGAGTTCCTTAGTTTTCTTTAATGTTTTTTTGAAACCACTTTTACAATTGGTGCTTCATCTGGTATGCAGAGTAATTTTTGTCATTTTTTATAGACTTTAAGAATACTAGTTTCTTGTTTCATGTATGAGAAGGTTTCATGGTAATTCCATGTCAAAACACAATTTGACATGTTTTAACCCAACATCTCAGTCTATATCAACGCTGAAACATTTAATGATAGTTACATTAACCATAAATTTACAAAATTTAATAGCATTTAAAGGTTTTGAACAAAAATCCAAAAATCTTTACTAAAACTTATTATATTTAATAAAAAAAAAACTTTTTAATTTGAATCAGTGCTTTTACAATTAACTATCAATAAATATTGATAGTTTATTGTAAAAGCTAAAGATTAATCAAAGAAAACATTTTGATTTATTTATCTCAAAATTTTATAACAATAATTTATACATGAATACCTATAAGGAGAAAAAAATATTGTATTGTTTTTAATGTGTTTTTCATATCTTTCTTATTCTATTTGAATTTTGGCAACTTTAATTAGCCATTTTCATTTGATATTTTCAATTATACTTTGTTTCTATTATTCCACTTATGTAATTTAATATATAAATAAATTTATGTTTTCTTATTTAATTAAATATAGTAACGAGTTCTAATAAATAATTTGTATTAATAATTACTTTAAATTAAAATTAAAAAAAAAATAAAATATTAATAAAAATATTTTTAAAATAGCTACAAAATTTCAATGCTCTGTTGAATTAAATTTAAACTCAAAATTTCTTAAACTAACATATACAAACACATTGGAACTGTTTTTTAGAGTTATTTACTATAAACATTGCTTGGCATGAAATAAAAAAATGTTTCTAAGTTTATAATTTTAAACTACTCAATTATTCCATTTTAAAACACTCAATTATTCCATTTTAAAACAACTTTGCAATATTCTTTTTGTTTAAAAATTGACTTACTTTAATATAACGGGTTAATTTTTTTAATTTTTTTTTGATGTTTTGGTATAAAATTATCCTTAAAAGAATCTAGTTCTATTGAAAGTAGGTTTACAGATAGCTCTTCCAGTTGACCAAATGTTTACGTTGTTATCAAAATTTGCCAAAAAAAATTATTTTTATAGAGTATAAAGTAAAAAAATATTCCTCCCCTCCCTTTCCCACTATTCTAGAATTGGTTCCGGTGTTTCTTTAAAATGTAAGAAGCCTCATTTTGAATCTTTAATTAGCTAATTCTTGATGCTAATTAATGATATTTTGTTTTTACCTTAAAAAATTTAAATGAAAATATTTCATATCAGATAACATTTCTACATTAAAAAACAAATTAAAAATAAACTTGTTGCTTGTTATTTAAAAAATGTTACTTTAAATAATTTTTTTAAGCTTTTTTTACTTATGGATTAATTGAAGATTTGAAATTATTTGATGAACAATTATAGAACTTATAAGATATGTATACTATGCATCAATACTAATAACTTATAAGATATGTATACTATGCATCAATACTAATAACTTATAAGATATGTATACTATGCATCAATACTAATAACTTATAAGATATGTATACTATGCATCAATACTAATAATTTCGAATTTAAATTACTTATTTAATTAAGGTAAAAACATTCAAGTGAAACATTGATTAAAAAGTAATATTTGATTTTTTTTTTTTTTTTTTTGATGTAGAAATGTTTTCAGATATGAAATATTTTTTATTAAAATTTTTCAAGGTAAGAACAAATATATTATTAATTAGTATCAAGAATCAGCTAATTTAAATGTTCTATACAGGTTTTTTCCTCTACCTGTTCTTTTTTATTTCAAAAATTTGCCATACTCTATAAAGTTTTTTATAAAAATTTTTTTTCAGCCAAATCATATCAAAATCCTCCCAAGAAAGCAAATTTATGAATTCTAAGTTATGCGAATTACCTGTTTTGACGGCATCGTACATATCTAAATCGCAAAACATTAACGAACATTGTAAATTGCCTCCACCTTATTATCATTTGCACAAATTATACGAACCTAATAATTATACTGAGCATAGTAAATCAAAATCTTTAATCACTTCTCCGAGGTACCTCCCATATCAACATCACATTTCCACCAAAGACTTTGAAAGACCTTCTGTTGACGATCACTTCAGAAAAAGTTTGGGTGACCAATATCTTACAAGTAAAAACTCTTACGTCATTGAAAATGATAAACCATGTTCTGTTGATGAGCATTTTGCTAAAGCTTTAGGGAAGAAATGGAAACTTGAAAATGAAAAGCCGATTTAAAAAAGAGGTTTTGTTGATATATCTATATATTTATATATATATAATTGTAAATAACTTTCTTTGTAATATTATATAAATGAATATTTTTTAATTTTGAAGTTTATACAAATTTCATTTGTTACAATAATCTTATATTTTCATAGTTTATTTTTTTAAAATTGTGAAACAATTGTTTATTTGAACTTTTATGTTCTTTGTAGTATTATTTTTTCGGGTACATACGAGAAAAGTTGTCTTTTATTTTATTAGATAACATTAGAAACTATGTTTTAATTTAAATTCACTAAAAAAGTTATTAATATAGACAAAAATAATGTATTTTATTTTCATGGCCAATTATCGCCAGCATTCCCAAATTAATTTCCCGTCCTCAAGGGGTCAGAGTACATTAAAAGTTAGCAAAAATAGTATGCCTCATGGGAAAAAAGTTATATATTGACATAAGCGTTACTAGACAGCTACTTGATTTTTAGGGTGACTTATGATTTTAGTGTGCTGCATATCAAACATACTTTTTTGAGTCATGAAAATCATTTCTGGGAACAAAATTTCATTTTGACTACTCTGGCTAGTCCATTACTTGTTTTCAGCTTTTTGAGGGTCAATTTAAATGATTTTGCATGCATACTTAATTAGAAATTTGTTTTAGAATGACAGATGTTTCAACATAAAATTAAATCTTTGACTGATCAAACTTGCTTTTCATTTGCGAGTGATTTTGTTTATCGAAATTCTTTTTGAAAAAAAGAATTTCAATTAACTTTATTTCAATTTTCAATTAATTTCAAAATTTCGATTTTTTGAAAAATCGAATTTGAAAATCACCAGATTTTCGTATGCTGATATGATAAAAAATTCAATATTTTTTAGATATCAAATTCATTCATTTCAATTGATTGAAAAACAATGCTTACAGAATTTTACTCCTGAATTATTTGTCTTTGGTTTGCTGCAGCTGCTTCTCATGTAGCTGATCAGAGAATCAAAGCCAGATAGCATTCTTCTCGTAAAATTATAGTTCTGTTAGGTTTTTTTTCCTTTAAGTGATAATTTTTCGGTCACTCGGAATTGCTCTTTAAATAGAATAACTCAGAGTTCATTTAATTTTTTTAGTAGAGCTGTCGCAACTTTTCCATCTATGATTATCTTTTGTTTGTTTAGATTTCTAGATCTTGAATTTCTGTTTAATAATCTTCATACATTCCACTGGCAGTGTTCTATAATTTTTTATATTTAGTTCTTTGCAAAGATAGCAAACATTCTTTTAACAATAAAAAAAATGAAATATGATCTAAGGGGCTATCCATAAAGTACGTACGCAGGTATGGGGGGGAGGGGTCACCCAAAAGCGTACGAGGGATGGGGAAGGGGTGTTTAAGACAGTGAGTACGTACGCAGGTGTGACTCTCATAAACTTGATTTTACTTTTTATTTTTATTAAAACATTGAATTTTACGTGTGTAACAAATCAGTATTATATTTTTTTTTTCTGACTTAACTCAAAAAAAAAAATTTAATTTCTTAAATAAATATTGAGAGAAAAAAGAAATCGAGTGACAAATAATATGGTTTATTATTCGCAGCGTAATTTGATTGGTAGCGAGATGAGAAGTATAACAACATGTTGTTTAAAATGTAATAAAAAACAACAAAAAAAATTAAAAAAAATCAAAAAGACGTCAAATAAAAGCAAACTTTTTTGAATTAACTACAGAGATATGTCAAATAAACTAAATGTTTTATATTGTTTTCAAATGCTTAGGTTTTATATTGTTTTCAAATACTAAGGCGTTAGGGAAAGGGAAGGAATTTATATGCGCAATTGCTCACTTTTTTTGCTAGCCTAAATTAAGTGAGCATTTTTAGAAAACGATGAGGGAAAACGAAGAATAATGAATGAAAATGTTGCTGACCCATACCAAACCCTCAGTCGATGTAGCAGCACTCCACGGCGAGTCAGGCTATTTGTCAGTCGATGTATGTACTGAAGCCCCCGGCAGCAGGCTATTTGACATTAGGTGAGTATGACATCATCATGCTCACCTAACTCAGCAGTATAAGATATATATATATATATATATATAAAGGAGAGAAAAAAGAAGAGTAAAAACCTATTAAAAAAGATTTTATATTTTTTTATTTATCTTGATTTTGCGGTACCTTACATTATTATAATAGTTAAGCTTTTTAAACTTTATTTTTTATTTTTATAAATAATAATTATTAATTTTTATTTTTGATTTCATGTTACTTGTATAATAGTACATATTCTGTTTTTTTATTATAGTCAGCTAATTATTATTTTTATATTAGTTTATTTATTACTGTTTAATTCACCACTGATATTACTATGATGCTTACATTAATATCATCATTACTGCTGTTATTATTATAACTATTAAATTATTTTAAATTTTGCAAACTTTCTTCTTTTCTACTTTCCATAAGCTCTACCATGGCCCTCAATTGTCTACCATGGCCCTCAATAAGCTCTACCATGGCCCTCAATTGTCGAGAAATTTGTACAAAAAGTTTGTAAAAACTGCCGAGCAATTCAACGCGATGTGTGTTTGTTTTGAATTCATTCATAATGCAACAAGCTTAATTGAGGAGAAGACTGGCAAAACCAGATAATTCACTTTTTTTTAATGACTTAGCTATGTTTTTCACACCTTTAGATTAGTTATTCAAATCAAGTTGACATCAAAATACTTTTTAAAAAAATCAGTTAGAAAAATAAATTTGCATTCAAAACCAGATAAAAAAAATTTAGCATGCAAAACCAGATAAAACGATTTTTAATAATGTAAAAATAAAAAAATAATGTAAAAAAAAATAAGTACATGGTTTTAAAATTTTTATATAAAACATTCAATTAATTATATCTACTGTTTAACTTTTAAATTTCATTTTTAGATTTATTGAAAAACATTGTTTGCTTTAATCTCAGATCAGAAAAGTGCGAGTTATCTGGTTTTGCGAGTCGACTTCTCAATTATGCTGGGTACAATTTAATATAGTCAAAACGCTCAACATGGCTGTGTGTTAACGCACAACATAGCTGTGTGCCTAAAGTTTCTTTCCATTAACAGATGCATCTGATAATGAATTTAAAATACTCTTCTCTTTTAGTAAAATTTTTATAACTTGCCTTCATCAACCAACTTCTTTCTGCTAATGGGATTGATTTAAATTTATACTTAATTTCTTCGTTCGCGTGCTTCAGTTTCTGATGAGGAAAACTGTTTCTCACTTAAAGCATACTATTTAAACATAATATTATTATTTAGTTTTCAAATTTGCATTATTGGGGTTACCAAAACAAGACTAAAAAGTGAATCTCCTTCCGCGCATCCAGTTATTAATGAAAATTATAACTTTGTTTTACTTATCAAAAAACTGAGTTTTAAACAAAGAGATTACCTGAATCCATTCTTGTTAAAATACTTTTTCCTCAAAAAATCAAATATTATCATTGGTTGCAGATATAAACATCCTAGCATATTTGTTAACAAAATGTCTGTCCTTCTCCAAAAGATATCTACTAAAGATACATTTTTTTACTCGGTGATTTTAATATGGATAAGATCACTCAAATTCTGACATTGCAGAGTTTCAATTTTTAAACTTACTTCTTATAATATGCGGCCATTCATTGAGCTAACAACAAGAGTTACTTACCTCTCTGCTGCTATCATTGACAATTTAAAAAAATTTTCTTTTATAAAACCTGATTGTTCTAAATTTGATTACTGAAAAAAAAAAGGCAGTATTCATAGAAGCGTAATTGAACCCCTATTGTTTGCAATTTTTGTAAACAATCTAAAATTGGACATTTATGATTTTAAATTTATACTCTCTACGTTAAATTTGTACTTTATAAATGAAACCTTAACTTTAGTATCTTGAATAATAGTTTTGAGATATATAGAAACCACAACTTTTTTCGGAAAAACCGAATCTTTCACTTTTAGGCGGTGAATATCTACGTTTTAGGCTGTTTTCGCTCCCAGGTTCTATTTAACGAAATTTATAGCAAAACATTTTTTTAAATTTATGAGTATAAGCGTACAAAAGAGTTTAGAACTTTTAATAAAAGTTTTAAGTTGATGATTTTAATCAGTGCACAGTGGAGTATTTGACCGAAAAAGTGGATCAAAAATATTTCGTTGAAGTTACGACAGCAACAAAAAAATCTTTAAAGTTTCCGCAAAAACATTTTTTTAATAAAGTAAAATATTTTAAAAATATATATTTAACAAGTATATTTGTAAATAAAGAAAAGTATATTTATAAATATAATAATATATATATATATATAGTTATATTTCAAATATAAATATATATATATGGAAAATTAAAGTGGTGGTTATTGTAAAACAAAGTATGTCAAATCACATATGTTATTATTATTTTTTTAAGTTTCACCACAGTTCTCCAAGCTGATTTTTTCAACATTTGATGACTTAATCTATATTCTTGTTACTCTTAAAAGAACCGCTGCCTTAAAGTGCCATAAATATACTTTTATGGAGTTTACAAAAGTGGTGTATTTATGAAACAATTAAATTTTTGAGATATCTTTAATGAAACTTTTTTTAAAGATTTTAATTTAATTAAAAATATATATTTTTTAACATTTTGCTTTAATGAACTGTATACATTTTTATATTTATAAATATATTTTTTTGATTTTCAAATATACTTGTTAAATATATATTTTTAAAATACTTCACTTTAAAAAAAAAAATGTTTTGCGGTAAAACTTTAAAGGTTTTATTATTTTTGCGGTAACTTCAGTGAAATATTTTTAATCGACTTTTTCGGTCAAATACTTCACTGTGAGCCGTGGCGCATTGGTTAGAGTTCTGGCTCAGAACCCAGAGGTCCGGGGTTCGACGCCGGCTCCAGCCCAGTAAGCGACATTGGTAAAGAAGGAGGCGCGAACCTATAGTTAAATGCTCTCCCGCGGTGCTCCGCGATAAGACCGTACGGGCTTCTGGGAGCACCTAAAAAAAAAAATGTTTTAGCAACAATACAACAATACAAAAAAAAAAAATGTTTTAGCAACAATACAACAATACAAAAAAACATTGTTTATAAATGCTTTGGCCAGTAGCACTATCAAAACCAGCCTTACACGTGAGTGTAAGGATGTAATTCTTTTATTGCTTTGTTGTTTAATTTCAAATGCTTCAGGTTCCTGAACTGTACAGATTCTTTCCAAAGTATGAACCATTAAATATTTTAACGGAACTGAAGCTGAATAGTCCTCCACTGTTATATTTACATGATAACATTTCAATTTTGC